CTCCATCCCCTAGTGGTTCCTGTCCAAGTCCCAGGTCGCCCTTAATTCCTTGTCCTTGTCCTCTATCTCTTCTTACTCTTATTTCAGAATATCCCAAAGCAGGACCCAGGAATCGCATGGGAGCCTGGGAAGCGTCTGGCTCTGGGACCCCTGACAACAGCTCGGGGGAGGTTCTGCCCACCTGGAAGCTGAGCTCCCCTCCTGCCCTGGGCCTGATCCTGACCTCTTCTTCCCACAGACAGTAACTTCCTCCTGGCCAACGCGCAGGGCCCACGGGGCTTTCCCATCGTCTACTGCTCTGACGGCTTTTGCGAGCTCACAGGTTACGGCCGCACCGAGGTCATGCAGAAAACCGGCAGCTGCCGCTTCCTCTACGGTCCCGAGACCAGTGAGCCGGCCCTGCAGAGGCTCCACAAGGCCCTGGAGGGCCGTCAGGAGCACCGGACTGAAATTTGCTTCTACCGGAAGGATGGTGAGGGGCCTGGCCTGGCCTGCAGCCCTGCCCAGACCCCAGGCTTTACCCAGAGTCCACTTGGCACAGTGAAAGCTTGGGTGCTGGTCCCCCCCCCTCGACACTGCCACAAGCTGGGTAACGCTGAGTGCATCCCTGACCCTTTCCGGGCCTTGGTTCCCCCATCTGGAAGGTGAAGGAGTCAGCGTTGGACTTTTCCAGTTCCAAACATTTACCAAACCCGTTGACTATGCCCAGGAACCAGGGGGTCAGGGATGCCACGGCTGCTCACCTTCTCCCTCCATCTTTCCACACCTACAGGCTCAGGCTTTCGGTGCCTCCTGGACATGATGCCCATCAAGAATGGGATGGGGGAGGTTGTGCTTTTCCTCTTTTCCTTCAAGGACATCACTCAGAGTGGAGGCCCAGGACCCGGCCCCTCCGGAAGCCACGGGGACAGCAATCATGGTAACCGCAAGTCTGGGGAGAAGGCGCGAACGGTCAGAGGTCCTTGCCCAAGGTCACACAGACCTCTCCCTCCCCAGCCTCGTGGGATGTGCCCCCATTTATCGCCATACCCTTCTTTCCAATAGAAAACTCCCTTGGCAGGAGGGGAGCCAGCTCAAGACTGCGATTCGCCAGGAGACAGAACCGGACTGTCCTGCGCAGACTGACTGGCCACTTTGGCCGCCGGGGCCAGGGAAGCATGAAAACCAATCGTGTGAGTCCTGTCTCCACCCCAACACCTCCCAGCCGTGACGCCGAGGCCCTGATACTGCCCTGTTTCCCTGTCTGGCTGGTCTCCCTCCAGTGACTTGTTCCTCTCTCTGCCCATTTCTCATGTCCAACTCTGCTCTAACTCATGCCCCCCCCACCCCCCTTCCATCCCCACCGCCCTTGCTTCCTTGTGACTGAGATTACTCTGCTCAGAAGCTGTCACAAGGCTGGGCTCTAGCAGCAATTATATCACCCAACTCTGGCTGGTAAAGTTACCTATGGGGGGATCACAAGCTGTGGTCCGAGGGAGAAAGCCCCCATTGAGGGCCTCACACCTAGCCTTCATCTAGGACCCCGATGAAGCCACGGATCGGGTCTCCAACCCTCTGTGTAGTCTCTAAGATCTATAAGGAGTGGGGTGTTGTGCCAGTCTCCCCTCAGTCCTGGATACACCCATCTCCCCCTGGGCCCCCAGCGCCCAAGAGGAACCCGAGGGAGAAGCTAGTGACCCCTCGAGGCAGGGCTTGTGCCTGATTTGTCATCATATCCTTCAGCAGGGTGAAGGTCACACCTTCAACTCCCCACAAAACATGACGGATTCACAAGGGGCCCTGAGCAGTAGCTTGGCCACGGAAGGGTCCGGTGCCACCCCTGAACCCCTCCCCTGCACCCTCTGTCTCTTCGTGGTTGTGTTCGCAGTGTCCACTCCCTCTTTTCCCCAGCCCCTGCCTCTCCCTCCCCTGGCCTTGGCTCCTCTTTCCCCCAAGTGTCCCCAACCACCACCCCTCTCCCCTTAGAACGTGTTTGAGCCAAAGCCATCAGTGCCCGAGTACAAGGTGGCCTCCGTGGGGGGGTCCCGCTGCCTCCTCCTCCACTACAGCGTCCCCAAGGCGGTGTGGGACGGCCTCATCCTCCTCGCCACCTTCTACGTTGCCGTCACCGTCCCCTACAACGTCTGCTTCTTGGGCGATGATGACACCCCCATCGCGTCCCGACACACCCTTGTCAGTGACATCGCCGTGGAGATGCTCTTCATCCTGGGTTAGACCCTCTGCCCCACACACCCTGGCGGGTGGGCTGGAGGGACCCAGTCATCCTGGCCTCGCTCTGTCCTGGGCTGCAGGACCCAGTCACTCAGAGCCCATCCATTTCTGGGTCTTGAGGTCCTAATGGTCCATGGGCCCTGACTCCTGACCCCTGCAGCCTTCTGCCTCTAGACCTTTCCTCCCTGAAGATCAGCTAAGAGCCCAATCTGTCTCCCCATTTCTAACCCTAACTCCATCCTGGGTCTCGAAGGCTTGTTCCCAGCCTACCCAGTTTCTTGGCCCTTTGGCCTGAGTTTCTAGACCAAGACACCCTCGTAACAGCCTCTTGCACCCCCAGATATCATTCTGAACTTCCGCACCACCTATGTGTCCCAGTCCGGCCAGGTGGTCTCTGCTCCTCGTTCCATTGGTCTCCACTACCTGGCCACCTGGTTCTTCGTCGACCTTATTGCTGCTCTGCCTTTTGACCTGCTTTACATCTTCAACATCACCGTGGTGAGTGGCCCCCGTCCCACCAAGCAGCTAACCAACCCCCCAGCTTCAGCACAGCTCCTCCCCCTAAGGGACTGACTCCAAACTCAGACCCAGTCCTTCCCATCAAGCTATCTGTGACTCTAGGTCAGGCATCCGCTACGGGCAGAGCCCTGTGCTAGGAGCTGAGAAGGACCTGAGAGGGTCTGGGCGCTGGGGGAGCTCAGCTCACAATCTCGGAGGGAAGCTGAGACAAATGAAAAGCTACGTCGAGCTACCAAGGCAGCGTTGGCCTGATACCAAATGAGTGGTGCTTTCCTCATCTTTATTGAACAAACAACTGATGAGCATTTAGCTGTCTGGAAAGCGCCGTGTGGGGCACGGTCACTGGGGAAAAGGGACAAGGATTCAGCCTCCAACAGCCAGGCTGGTGATGGGGCCGGACTCCGGAAGGGGCCAGCAGGAACAGCAGAGGGGGATGAGGTGGAACATGGGCCCCGGAACTGTGCATGGAGGCTGGGCACGGAGCCAGCTGACCTCGGAGCTCCAGACGGGGACATGGGCACGGGTAAAAAGGGATCTAAAATCTAGCCAGTGCTGGGAGGTCAAAGCAGCCCAGCTGGGCAGAGGCCAGGGTGGCCTGGAAGGGTTCCTGAGGAGGTTGAGGGAGAGCTAGACCTAGATAAAGGTAGGCTTGGCTGGCA